AAAAAAAAAAAAATCGAAGGACCAGCCAAACCTAAAAAAAGCTAGGACGAGGGAGCCGACGAGCTACCACAGCACTCAGACTCCAGAAAGAGGAGCTGTAGGTGGAGCTTGTTTGTGGAGTTCCATGTAAAACTCCAGCATGAGATCGGCCACGACCACCACGCTCTCAACCGATGGGCTCTGACAGGTTCTGAGAAAAACTCCTTCGATACCAACCACCTTTCTCTGTCAGGAAAACCTGGCCGACCACAACCTAGAGAGGTTGAGGCCAGTATTGCCTCTGACAAAGGGCCGGGACGTTACGCCCCGGCCGCCAACGCGCGCCGTTCCGACCTTCAACCTTCTCACAGTTGATCCGGCAATACCCGGGCCCGGAAGTTTGATCTTCATCGTCGCTGTCTCGGCATATATGTTTCTTGCCGGGACCACGTTAATAAAGTTGGATAGCGGAATTTCCGCTCGTTGAATTTTTTCCTCCGAAGAATTCGGAAGGTTCGGAGTTCTCAATTCGGACACAATAATCTTAAAGAATTGCCTCACGGGTCGAAAGAACGAATTTTTGTAACTCTGGTTTATCTCCGGCGAACTGCTTCTCATATACAAGAAAAGGGAAAAACGGAGGGCCATAAACAAAGAGTTCTGGGGGACGGATGGGTAGTAAGAGAAGTGGCATGATATGGATCGAAGATTACACGCTTTATATAGACAGATGAAACGATTCGAAAAGATGAAAGATGCCTCGAAATCGGATAAGAGGGATATGCGGATAAGACGCCTCAAAATCGGCCGTAACGTTCCAACTGCCAGCGGTTTCTAAACCATTCAAAAATTTAAATTTTAAAATTAAACTTTCGATGAAAGATGAAAGATGAAAGACGAAAGATGAAAGAAATAAAAAATAAACTTTCGAGTAGAAGCGCGAAGGGGGTATGCGAGCAATATGCGGTAATTCGCATACCCCATCACATAACTGAAATAACAGAAAGATGAAAGAAATAAAAAAAAAAAAAAAAAATACACTTTCGAGTAGAAGTGCGAAGGAGTATGCGAGCAATATGCGGCAATTCGCATACCGCCTCGCATAACTGAAAGATGAAAGAAATACGAAATAAACTTATTATGCACAAATTATGCGCATAATATGTGACGTTGGTATGTCGCAGAACAATTATTTCGACTAATAGTCGCAGTTCATTCGCCTAACAATAATAATTATTTAATGGGTGACGGACCGCGATTGACCGAGTCGTACATCGAATCTCCGCATATTCGTCGCATACTTTAACTCATAATTTTCTCGCCCATGCTCATATCAGTCGTCTATCTATGGTATAGTTTTTCGCATATCTCTTCGTACTTTCTGGGGTGAAAAGCTTAACTTTTTATTGGGTGGTGTGAAAAAACTTAGCAGGACTTCAAAATGGGGTGAAAATAGCTAATTCCTCTTATTGAATTGTATATGTATTTTAAAAGTTAATAATTTTTGTATTTTTTATCAATTTTACATATGTAATATATCAATTTAATCTTCTTTTGATGAACTTCGATTTAACATCCATATTGTATGTATAAAAAAATAATTTATATTTATCTTTATAACAATAATAAAATTATTTTTAATATTAATTAGAAAAATAAAATTATTTATCAACTAATATATTTATATTTCAAATAGTTATATGATATAAGTTATAAAAACTAATACCCCTCCAATTTCATCAAGTGGTCATACTAGAGACATAAACAGTCTGTGGATAATTATGAGATCCTTCCGAATAGGCTATAATTAAACACATGTAAGTCATAAGTAACACATATCATTCTAGAATATATAGTAATATATTTATTTTGTAAAAAAGTAAACTAAATTTGATATAGTTTTCTCATTAATTTTAAAATTTAAGAATAATTTTTTTAACAAGCAGCCGTGTAATACACGAGTATTGTACTGGTAATTATTATTAGAGTATAACCACAAACACCTTTTTGTCTCCGTCTGAAATCCCCAGCAATTGGCCCACCTCCGTTGTCAGCACCTCCGTTGCCATCACCACCGGCGATATTTAGATTTCTGTGTTATTTTTCGAAGTGTGTGCACTTTTTCTATTTTTTTTTTTTTTTTATATAAATTGAACTTTTATATTAAGTCGTGACTGCTTATAAGATAACATTTTTTTTAACTTTGAACCTATTTCAAATTTAATATTATTCAATTTTTTTGATAATTAATATAATTAAATAATATCAATTAATTATTCTCATACATTATATTAAATTAAGACATCTACACAAATAATCTTAATTATCAATCACAATAAATAATTTATCTCTATTTTTACATCAAATCAATTTTAATTATTATATTTAAATATTATTTTTATAAAACACTCAAAATCTCACTAAATATTCATCCAATCATTTTTTTTTCAAAAGTAACTCTCATTAACCAATAAGTCTAATCAAAATAAAATATATTGCATACAATCAACCCTTAGACTATCTTTATCCCCAACCCAACCCAACCTAACTTAACAATTAAAAATTATTTCTCTCCCTTCCACTTACACAACCCAACCTTACAATCAAATTTATCTTTATTCTCAACCCAACTCAACTTAAATATTTATTTTATTTTAATGTATTTAAAAATTATAATTGTGTTCTAAAATATATCAAGTGTGGTCTTTATTTGTAAAGAATTAAAAAATATGAATTTTAATATATTTTTTTTTATTTTTTTAAAAATAAAAAAAAATACACTTATCCAATAAAAATAGGACAAGTGTCCCAATTTTTCTCACAATCCGGTCGTGACTCGAGGTCACATTGTGACCTGGGTCACTCAACTTTGTGACTTTTTATATTTTTTTCTCATTTTTTTATTGCTATTTTATTCCGTGACCCATTGAAGAGGTCACGGTTAAATATAGTCTTAGAAGCCGATAGGCCTGAGTTCTCGGCTTTCCACCTGGTATGGACGGGTAGTTTGTGGTGAGACCGCTGAGTGAATGTGGGGATACCGTATTCAACAAAAAATAATAATAATAATAATAATAATAATAATAATAATAAAACTAAACTAAAGAGGTGTCTTTCCTTTCCGATGATGGGGGATGTCCCCTTTGGTTTCAACTATTTTCATACTCATTTTTTATATTTA